TTGACCAGGATGGTCTCGATCTCTTGACCTCGTGATCCACCCGCCTCGGCCTCCCAAAGTGCTGGGATTACAGGCTTGAGCCACCGCGCCCGGCCTCATACTTTTTTTTTTTTAAGACAGTGTCTCGTTCTTGTTGCCCAGGTTGTAGTGCAATGATGTAATCTTGGCTCACTGCAACCTCCACCTCCTGGGTTCATGCGATTCTTCTGCCTTAGCCTCCTGAGTAGCTGAGATTACAGGCGTGCACCACCATGCTCAGCTAATTTTTGTGTTTTTAGTAGAGACAGGGCTTTACCATATTGGCCAGGCTGGTTTTCAACTCTTGACCTTAGGTGATCTGCCCTCAGCCGTCCAAAGTGCTGGGATTACAAGTGCGAGTCACTGTATCCTCCCCGAGTTCCTGTTTTTTTTTTTTTGTTTGTTTTTTTCTCGTATAGTCATCCCTCAGTATCCATGGGGGATGGTTCCAGGATTTTCCATGGATACCAGAATCTGAAGATACTCAAGTCCCCGATATAAAACAGCATGGCATTTGCATATAACCTACATATCCTGCATAATTTAGCCATCTATCTCTGCGTTACTTGTAATACCTAATACAATATAAATATAATGTAAATAGCTGTTATACTGTGTGCTTTAGGGAATAAGTCTACATGGTCAGGAAACAATTTTTTCCCAGTTGTTTTTGACCCAAGGATGATTAAACACATGTATGTGAAACCCAAAAAGGAGGGTCAGCTCTGGGTCATGTGGTAATTCCATTTAGTTTTTTTGAGTAACTGTCAGACTTTTTTAGACAGCTTCGTTGTCGCTCAGGCTACCACCTTCCAGGTTCAAGCAATTTTCCTGCCTCAGTCTCCAGAGTGACTTGGGATGACAGGCACGTGCCACCGTGCCCGGTAAATTTTGTATTTTTAGTAGAGACGGGGTTTTTCCGTGTTGGTCGGGCTGGTCAAACTCCTGCCCAGGTGATATGCCTGCCTTGGCCTCCCAAAGTGTTGGGGCTCTATAGGTGTGAGCCACCATGCCCAGCCTCCATATTATTTCCCATCTTTTGGATTAGAGCTATCCTAGGTGTGAAGTAGTATCTGGTTTTTATGAGCGTTTCCCTTAAGACTGACAAATAGTGCTTTTTGAGAGTCTTGCTCTGTCGCCCAGGCTAGAGTGCAATGGTGTGATCCTGGCTCACTGCAATCTCTGCCCCCTGGGTTTGAGCAGTTCTCCTGCCTCACCCTCCAGAGTAGCTGGGAATGCAGGTGCGCACCACCACACCCGGCTAATTTTTGTACTTTTAGTAGACAGGGTGCGCCGTGTTGGCCAGGCTGATCTCAAACTCCTGACCTCAGGTGGTATGCCTGCCTTAGCCTCCCAAAATGCCGGAATTACAGGCAAGAGCCACCGTGCCTGGCTCTAAACAGTGCTCTTAAATATATTAATATAGAGGTTGAGAAATTTTTAGAATTTGTATATAAGCTCAGTGAAAGGGTCACAAGTGCTTTTTAACACTGATCAAATTATACTTTCCTGAACATCTGCTTCACATCTCTCAAACTTTAGGGTAGCTGTGGCTGTCTGGCACAGACAAAAAGGAAATTGACAAACACTGATGGTTTGGGAAACTTATTTTTTAAAGTTTTTCTCCTTTTTAAACTTGTGTTCTTTATAATTTATTTTCTCATACTCCAGTGTTTGCAAAGTTTTCTAAGCCCCCTTCTTGGCTCATTACTCAGTCCTCCACTTTAATCTCCATCCTATTTAATATTATTATAGTTCAATAGTATTTTTGTATTACTCATTTAGACTAGCTAAAATCAAGTTACATATCTTAGTTAAAAGCCAAAACTCATGATCTGGGAAAAAAAAGCCTGTAGTGACACACATTGGAGATGCTTTGTAATTAGTATATTAAGGAGACAATACATTTCAAGAATTGCTTAAATTCTGATACCCAGATTTAAGCATGTGAACATGAGACTTTTAAACATACAATTAAAGCTGTTCATCATAATTCGCTACACTACCAACATTAGTTACTTTGGAGCGTAAGTCAAATGGTTTAAAGTAATCCTGTAACATACCTAGAGAACACCTTCCTATATTATGCATGCAAACTACTTCTCCATGTAAAGGTCTTTTCACTTTAATTTCTACGTTACCCAGCTCTGAAGTCACTACTCGGGTTTATCATGGTCCACAGACAAGGAGGGGGGCAAATAACCAGGACTGGTCAAGATATATATGGATATATATATATATATATATATGGATGGCACAGCAGAAGGAAACAATTTTGGAAGTGCAAGGCTTCAAGAAGCAGCATATTATGATAAACCCCTCCTACAGAAAGGTATCATTTTTATCACTGATACCACAGGATAAATTATATATTACGCCATCTTCAAGTAACAGTTGAGGCAATAGAATAAATGCAGAGGCATTACAATGAATCCCACTTAATACAAGAACTATACAGACCAACACTTCTCTACAGTTTTTTCTTATTGCCAGTTAAATACAGTTTTACTTTCATAGCTTAACAATGAAGGGTCATACACTGAAGCCAATACATATACCTAGCATTTCAGTCTACGCTTGTCCACGTACATAGCTGAAGTCAATTACAAGGTTTGGCCTAGCAATGCTAGGGGAACTTCTTTGTAGTTTTTACAGGTATTAAACTTCATTTTGCACACTGAAGTCATCATACATACAGGGCAAAGTCAGAGCTTTTATATTTGCCTTTATTCTTCATTTAACTTTTTAAAACACTACTATAGTTGATTAAAACAAAAACAAAAGCAAGTAGTGAGCATATTATGATTATAGTCCTTACTCATTCACTACTGCACATAAAATGCCAGCAGTGAGTGTTATTCACTGGCCCATTAAGAGGTCTGACACTGAACACCACCTCTGGGATGATGTTCATCATCCTCATATGCTTCTCCATTGTAATGGCGCCGTCTTTCCTGATTTGGATCAAAGTCCACCAGTTCTACTTGATCCATCTCATCAGTCTCTTCTACTTCCTTCCTTTCCGGTAGGAGTTTTTCCAGCAAAGATAGTTTATCAGGAGAGAGAAAGCCATTCTCAGGAAAGTTTACCTTCAAAAGAAATTTTTACTTTTAAGTTCAATCTGTTTTCATCATTAGCTCCTTAGAGTATCATGGATTCACTTTCCACAGAAAAACACATGTAAACACATGATATTTAGGTGAATCTGCCAATCTCAGGTTAAGGTTCTAAAAAGGCACAGGGCATAGCACACTCTCAACTAGAGTTCAAGGATTATGACCAAAAGTCAGGCTTCATTAAAAAAAAAGATTGTATTAAATAAAACTGTACTTTAACCACCATTGTTCTATCCAGCAAACTGACTTTTAATACCAAAACCCGTCCTGAAACAGTCTAATTCTTCTCATGAGGTATTTAAACAAAGCTACTCTTACTCTCAAAAGGGTAGTTCTTTCTCATCCAAAGATGTTTTTAGGCCAGGTGCAATAGCTCATGCGTGTAATCCCAACACTTTGGGAGGCCGAGGTGGGCAGATCACCTGAGGCCATGAGTTTGAGATCAGCCTGGCTAAAATGGTGAAACCTGTCTCTACTAAAAACACAAAAGTGAGCCAGGTGTGGTGGCAGGTGCCTGTAATCCCAGCTACTCAGGAGGCTGAGGCAGGAGAATTGCTTGAACCCAGGAGACGAGATTGCAGTGATCCAGGATCTTACCACTGCACTCCAGCCTGGGTGGCAGAGCAAAACTCCCTTCTCAATAATGGGGGAAAAAAAAGATGTTTTAATTAATATCTTTTGTGATGAGAGGCCAATTTAAGACCGAGGAAAATGACTGGATTGCTTTATACCTATTAACAAATCAAGCATTACACTACTTTGCCAAGAAATCTGCAATTATAAAGTGCTTCTGAACTTTAAGATGACAGTTACAACCTATATTTAATAAAATAGCCACTTGTCCAGCACACCCTTCCCACAATCTATCTCTAAGTATCCAATTAATGATGCAAAAACCCCATCCTCAACCTGGTTAACAAAGAATGCTCACTCAACATGACAAGAATTAGTAGTATTAGAATTGTTTTGAGACAGGGTCTCATTTTGCCACCCAGGTTGAAGTACACTGATACGATCTTGGTTCTGCAGCCTTGACCTCCTAGGCTCAAGCAATCCTCCCATCTCAGCTTTCCAAGTAGCTGGGACTATAGGTGCGTGCCACCATGCCGGGCTAAGTTTTGTACTTTTTGTAGAGACGGAGTTTTGCCATGTTTTCCAGGCTGGTCTTGAATTCTTGAGCTCAAGTGAACCAACTGTCTAGGCCTCCCAAAGCACTGGGATCATAGGCATATGCTGGAGACACATAGCCAGATCAGTGTATTAATTGCTGGGTAAGGAAAAATATAAACTTCAGGTTGCTTGGCATTCAGAAACTTTCTTTTTTTTTTTAAAAAAAAAGACAGGGTTTCACTATGTTGCCCAGGCTGTTCTCAAACTCCCGGGCTCAAGGGATCTTCCTGCCTCAGCCTCCCAAAATGCAGGGATTACAGGCATGAGCTACCATACCTGGCTGAAATTTTACATTTTTTATTTTAAAAATCAGAGTTTAGTAAGCCAATTTTTCTTCTCAAATATACTTAAAGTACTTTACAGCTTACCTTAAATTCGATGATTAGGCGACCCTTTTCATATGGTCTACGATAAATTGGCATGCCTTCATTTAGTACACACTTGATATCTCCATGCTTGACAATCTGACCTAAAAACATTGAAGCCAAGTTCTTCCTTAAGTATGGTCACATTTTTATGAGGCAGAGAAAATAAAGAACAGAGAGCACTGTCCTAGCTCACTGGCAGAAGTAAAACTTATGTGGCAAAACAATCCTGTTACCTTTCATGTATGGGCTTTTCAAGGGCAGACTAGAGAGCCAAGACCTTATAACTTCATCTCAGCCCAGGGAACAGTAGTAACCGAGGAAGAAAAACAATGTGTTTCCCTCTGCCTATAATACTGTGTTATCAGGAGACAAGGAAAATACTAGAATAGAAAAGAGAAACTTAAGCTTGCCTAGTTACCATACCTGGATGAGAGGTGATGACTATGGTTCGGTTGTCAAGAGTAGATATCGGCTTTTGGAAGCCACACAGTGCTTCAACCAGCTGTATGTCCATACACATGAAAAGGTCTTCTCCTCGTCTGCAAAAATATGACACATATTTACATTTCTCAAATCACCAATCAGTGGATGTACCAAAGCAGGCTATCGTTTATTGTTTTAATAAAAGCAAGGGTGTCTTTTCTAAAGACTCTCTTTTCTTCCCCCATTGTAAAAATCAAACAGAGCAGAGATATGGGAATAGCACACATGTAGAACCTGCCAGCCCTGTTTCCTAGATAAGGATTCAAAGTCATTCCACACACTCTAGGCAGCCTTTACCATTTAACATCCCTGAATTGTTTCATTACCTAATTTTTAATCTGGTTTCTCAGAGGGAAAAAACTAACAAAACTCCCAAGAGTGAGGCTTAGGTTGGGTGGTGTAGTTCACACCTGTCATCTCAGCACTTTGGGAGGCTGAGGCAAGTGAATCACCTAAGGTTGGGAGTTCAAGACCAGCCTGGCCAACATGCTGAAACCCCGTTTTTTTTTTTTTTTGAGACGGAGTTTTGCTCTTGTTACCCAGGCTGGAGTGCAATGGCGCGATCTCGGCTCACCGCAACCTCCGCCCCTCCTGGGTTCAGGCAATTCTCCTGCCTCAACCTCCTGAGTAGCTGGGATTACAGGCACGCGCCACCATGCCCAGCTAATGTTTTTTGTATTTTTAGTAGAGACGGGGTTTCACCATGTTGACCAGGATAGCCTCGATCTCTTGACCTCGTGATCCACCAGCCTCGGCCTCCCAAAGTGCTGGGATTACAGGCTTGAGCCACCGGGCCCGGCCTGAAACCCCGTTTTTACTAAAAATACAAAAAACATTAGCCATGTGTGGTGGCACACAACTGGGATCCCAGTTACTCAGGAGGCTGAGGCAGGAGAATCACTTGAACCTGGAAGCGGAGCTTGCAGTGAGCCGAGATTGTGCCACTACACTCCAGCCTGGGCAGGGTCCTAGATAATTTAGGCTCCATGAAATTAAACAAGGGGGATGTATGACCAATTTATTTTTAATTGACTATAAGAATTTCCTCATTGACGTACCTAAAATACAGTTCCTGGCACATTATGAGTGAATACAGCTTTTCATATTTAACAGCCCACTTCCTCCTCATGCTTAGACTTTCCTCTTTTTCAGCCCACATTAATAAAACATCTTTAATCTTTAATACTCTTCTCAAATGACAACATTAAAATCCTGAGCTTGACAACCCTTCCCAACATCTTCAGACATTTGTGAAATACCTTGTTTTTTGAGACCAAGTTTCACTCTTGTTGCCCAGGCTGGAGATGCAGTGGTGCAATCTGGACTCACTGTAACCTCTGCCTCCCTGGTTCAAGTGATTCTCCTGCCTCAAGCTCCCAAGTAGCTGGGATTATAGATGCCTGCCATCACGCCTGGCTAATTTCTGTATCTTTAATAGAGATGGCATTTCACAATGTTGGCCACGCTGGTCTCGAACTCCCAACCTCAGGTGATCCACCTGCCTTGGCCTCCCAAAGTGTTGAGATTACAGGTGTGAGCCACCACCGGCCAAAATATTATTAATTCTAAACCAGTTTCTTTAAGATGTTCCCAATTTCACCTCCAGTCCACTTAAAAAAAAAAAAAGATAGGCTCTGTCACCCAAGCTATAATGCAGTGGCGTGATCATAACCTTCAACTCTTGAGTTCAAGCCACTCTCCTGCCTTGGTCTCCCCAATAGCTAGAACTCCTGGCCTCAAGTGATCCTTCCACCTCAGCCTCCACAGAGGGTCTATTATGTTTTGATATTAGCCATGGATATATTTAACACAAACATTTACTATTAACCATCAACTTTTCTTATGTTTCAGCGTTAAGTTCATAAACTTTATTTAGTTCACAATGGTAGACCTGAATTTATACTTAATATTGAGTTCTAATTTAAGTTTCTTGCAGAGATGCTTTTGGGTATTTACAATTAAAAGCAATTCAATTTATCTTAGACTAAGGATTGAAAATTGCTGAAAGCTTTTAAGGCACTTACTTTAAATTGTTTTACAAAAACTGGGGCAAACTTTTGTCCAGGGAGGCTTCCCCCAGCCACCTGGTATTTAGGTTCACACAAAACATCTAACTGAAACACATTTTCAATGTTGCATACTCAAGAGACAAAAAGCTAAAAATCTGATCCTATGTATTCAACCTCTTATGATTCAAACAATGGTTAACAATCTATTACAAGATACATTTTACACAGTATAACTGTCTTGCTATATTTTCCCAGCATATCTCCAGGAAATATGTTGTAAGAGTAATGGAAAACACATTATAAAAAACCAAAACCAACAACCCAAATATGTAAAGATGTCAATTTGAATGGTTTATAAAATTCTTTACCGAGTAAAAACAGCATGGTCCTTCTGATCTAACACAATGATTATATCTCCTGGCTCCAGTCCTGGTTCTTGGTCTCCTTCACCATGGAATGTTATCTTCTGGCCATCTTTCATGCCTTAAAACAAAACATTAATTTTATACTCTTAAGGTCAGAATCATAAAATCTATACATAGATGTTTGTTTATGAATAAAAAACAGAGAAATGACTAAGAAATCCCACTTTCTTAGTAGTTTAGTCCAATTTGTGCCTGAAGAAAGCTATCATAGTGGGGAACACAAACTCGAGAAGCAAGGACCAGCTTTCAAGTCTCAGGGCTTCTATTCATTGGCTGGATTGCTCTGGGAAAGTAAGCTGCATATCCTACCCAAATTTCAACTTTCCCACACCTACACCTCATTATGATTGTCAAGTGTATTAACTAAACAGTTATAAGATGGTACTAAACCAGTGACTGGCAAACACTGGTTATAACCAAAAAATGTTAATTAACTATTTCAATTTCATTACTTGTAAGAACATATCAAATTACTTCTCTTAAGTCTAACAGCAATGTAAATCAAGACCCTTCTCACTCATGTAGCATTTATATATATGAAACTAGAAATATTTAAAATCAAGATTCTTGAGATAGGTTATTGCTGTTGCCTAGGCTGGAGTGCAGTGGCACAAACATGGCTCACTGCAGCCTTGATCTCCTGGGCTCAAGTGATCCTCCCACTTCAGCCTCCTGAGTAGATAGGACCACAGGCCAGCTATATATATATATATATATTTTTTTAAATAGAGATGGAAATTCTCATTATGTTGCTCAGGCTGGTATTGAACTCCTGGGCTCAAGGGATCCTCTTGCCTTGGCCTCTTATAGGGTTAGGATTATAGGTGTGAGCCACTGTGCCTCCCCAAAATTCGTATTTTTGTGTAAGAACTATTCCGTTTGGCCAAGCATGGTGGCTCACGCCTGTAATCCCAGCACTTTGGGAGGCAGAGGCGGGCGGATTGCCTGAGCTCAGGAGTTTAAGACCAGCCTGGGCAACACGGTGAAACCCCGTCTCTACTAAAATAAAAAAAAATTAGATGGGCGTGGCAGCATGTGCCTGTAGTCCCACCTACTTGGGAGGCCAAGGCAGGAGAATTGCAAGAACCCGGGAGGCGGAGGTTGCAGTGAGCTGGGATTGTGCCACTGCACTCCAGCCTGGGCAAGAGAGCAAGATTGCATCTCCAAAAA